GCGGCTTTGAGTCACGTGTTCTATGGATTTGCTTTGTTATATTGGCCAACAGGGCAAATCAACCAATACTGGCGTAGGGGCAATCAAATCAGTCAAATCTTGGCGTTATTTAATTTATTGGCTTTAACGGCAGCGCTGCGACGACTTGATTTAATCACAGCTTATTCTCCATTCGATGGTCTCTGTCTTCTATCTTTTCACGGTATTCCACTGTCTCGCTTCTGGGGGTTGCGACCTAGCCAACGCTCTATGGATCTCATCTCGGATTTCACACTATTTTCGTACGTGAAATTCCGTACCATCTACGGAAAGGCATTCGTCAACCGGCCCCGTCAATCATCACCTGCTGACACTTGATGGGGCTCACACAGGACCTATTCACTAAGAGAGCCTGGGTTTACTTCTAGATTGCCAAAGTCTACCATATGGCGCAGCATTAATACAACCATGCATGACTTACGTCTGGACCACCATCATCATCATCATCATGTTCTCGTCTGGACTCAAGAGCACGGAAACGATAACGACAACGACGACGAGATGTCCCGCAGATCTGCGAGCTAGCCTGTCAGTGATTGCAGGAAGGGGCTTGGCTCCAAGCTTCGCTTCTAGGCTTGGCTGTGCAGGGCGAAGACCATTTAGCCCCCGAATCTGCTACGCCCTACAGTTTCTGCGGAGTTGTATTTGACCGCCACAGCGCACGCCCAGGGTCTAAAACCTTGTCCCGAGAACATGCCGTACCTATTCCCCGAACCCCGTAGAGAACTTCAATTTGGCTTCAGATTTGCCGCGCATTACGACACAGGCTTATGGCAACGAAACCGTCTGTGGGCGCTGGTGATTGGAAATGTTCCACAATCTCAAAATTAACCCCGGATTCCTAACGCTGGAACAACGGGATTCGTCCCCACTTGACAGCCCTCAACTCCGTCGCCCTCCAAGGCCGCCAGCATTGTGATTTCAACAAGAACGAGCTTCGTTAGTTCATCCGAATGAAGCAAGCTGGCGCTCTAAAAGGCTGCGTCTGATCTCTCGGGCTGATCTCATTGCCGGGTATCTCGTTTTCGTCTCGCATCCTTGTCCCGTTTTCGCATCTGCCAATGATTCGTCAAAGCTGCAATCGCGGTCCCAGCATTGTCAAGGGTACCCCCGGATATTGCTCATCCGGAACCCACCAATCCGGGCAGTGATGATTAAATGCGCCCTGGCGGTCGCATTAATTCGGGTTTCAATACTCGTATTTCTCGGGTTACAAGGGTTGATCGCCTCATCAGGACGAAGAGCATTCCAAAGATGCACCATCAAACATGAATGCAATGATGAAGACATGCTTTAAATTCTCTTTCACCTATCGCTGGACGCAAATTTGGGCCAGAAACGTCCCACGAAGCATCATACTCATTTGTCCTGACATAGAAGAGGGCAGGAATGATTTTACAGATCGACATTTGGACAGGCCTATTGGCCTTTGTTGGCTTGGTGAGTCCGTCGCCGTGATATCTGAAACGGCCACATCTAACGACATTTGCCAAGATCGCGGTCTATCTCGCATTTTCAGTATTTTACAACCTTTTTCTTCACCCACTACGAAGCTTTCCGGGACCTTTCCTTCTCCGCGCCACACGACTAGGCTTCGGCTACAAACTCAACAAAGGCACGCTTCCGTTTGACATCTTGGAGCTGCATAAGAAGTACGGCGACATTGTCCGAGTAGCGCCCAATGAACTCGCCTTCAACAATGTCAGCGCCTGGAAGGATATCATGGGCCACCGATCTTCAGGTGCGCCGGAATTTGAGAAATATCAGATGTTCTACCGCCCGGTCACGACGATCCCTTCTACCATTGTCAGCTCTGGCGGAAAGGAGCACGCATTGCTGAGGAGATCAATGTCGCATGGCTTCAGCGAGCGCAGCCTGCGGGATCAGCAACCCCTCATCATGCAGTATGTGAACCTCTTCATCCAGCGTCTTCACGAGAACTGCGTCAAAGACGAACCGATTGACCTGATGGCTTGGTACAACTTCACCACGTTCGACATCATCGGTGATCTTGCGTTTGGTGAACCGTTCGGATGTCTCGAGAGGTCAGATTATCATCCCTGGATTCGCACAATCTTCATCTCAGCTCGGCTTGGGACGGTTGTCCAAACTGCCAACCACTACCCCTGGCTGAAGAAGCTGATGCTCAACCTGTTGGCGACCAAGTCCGCAAGAGCGAGTCGCGGGAAGAATCTCAACAACGCCAGAGAGAAGGTTCAGCGACGCATGGACCTGGGCGGTAAGGGAGGCAGACCAGATCTCATCGAAGGATTGCTGAAGAAGAAGGATGAACTCGTAAGCCCTAACCTGTCGTTCTCTGATGTAGCCCTTATGCATCAACAACGTTGTATCCGTTGACTTACTTGTATACTCCAGGGTCTCTCTTTCGACCAGCTCGCTGCCAACAGCAACACGCTCGTCATCGGAGGATCAGAAACAACAGCCACTCTGCTGTCCGGGGTGACTTATTATCTATTGACCAACCAACATACGCTTGAGAAGCTGGTATCTGAAGTTCGGTCGACCTTCGAAAAGGAAGATGACATCACCATCATCTCGGTCAACAAGTTGAGCTACATGCTAGCTTGCCTGGACGAGGCTCTCCGTATCTATCCTCCTGTTTCGATGGGTCTACCGCGAGTGACTCCCAAAGAGGGCGCTACTGTCTGCGGTCGCTTCATACCTGGAAATGTGAGCTGTCCGAAGAGCACATTCCCAACACTAAAGCTGTGATGCTGACTGACTTCAACGCAGATGACTGTCGCCATTCATCAATGGGCGATACATCACAACGAAGCCTACTTCAAAGATCCGTTTAGTTTCCGCCCGGAGAGATTTCTCGGCGACCCAGAGTTTGCTTCCGATAACCGAGACGCATTCCAGCCCTTCCACATCGGAGCCCGTAATTGCCTGGGACGAAAGTGAGATCACCCCTGCCATCACCGCCATTCGTGTTGTTTGAGAATTCAATTCAGTAGCTGACGTGAGCAGTTTGGCGTATGTCGAGATGCGCCTCATTCTAGCTCGTCTGATTTGGAGTTTTGACCTTGAGCTTGCGGAAGAGAGTCGGGATTGGGTGGGACAACAGAAGGTCTTCATTCTGTGGGACAAGGGGCCTCTCAAAGTTCACCTCAAGCCTGTTGCTAGAGCTTGAAGCCATCTGAGAATGTATTCGTACTAGACCTGCTTTACTTTAGAACGACCATTTTGTCCGTCTATAAACTTGACTTGCTGCTGCGGACAACGGAATAATTAGCGAACGGTGATCGGCCCCCGCACTCGCTCACAGTCAGCCAAGACTCGACTCGGCCATCCATGTGAATGGCTGAGTTACACGCTGACCCAATCGGACCACGCTAATGCAGTTACTGCGCAGTAAGATTTCGGCTATGTCCAATCGGGAGGCCGATAAGATATTATTCCCATTATTACTGTGCGACGAGTCAATGAAGCTTGTCAAACGTCTGACAAGAAAAAACCTCAACAAAATGACGTTATGTTCGACATGGATATGGTCAAAGGGAATTCTTTACTCAGCACTAGGTTGGTTCATGGCGAATATGATTGACGAAAATCCTTCGGGCGCAATGGTTCCAACACACTCCAGTGACATAAACATCAGCGTGTGGCCGGATAGGGTCATCCCCGCCACCTTGCTGCAGGTACTGTACAGTAACCGCATGGCAAACACCATTTGGCCGTATCAGAAGAACTTTCTCCGCACGAAGCCGCCGTTACTGTACAGTTCGCAGATCACAAAAAGCGGATACAGTGACATTTCGATTAGTTTTGCACAAGTCGCAATACAAGAAACCTCGCTCAAAAGGACAACCCGTCCAACTTGACAGGCCATTTGAAAGCCAACATTCTTCTCCGATTCATCTCCTAAACCACTGCAAAGTCTGATTTAACATAGGTTGTTACCTGCGTGTCTATCTCTATTGAAAGTCTCATAAGTCCTAAGCGCTCATTCGCTCCTGCAAACCGACACTATGTCCATTCCGCGCGACCAGCTCAAGTTCCGAGCTCCCCCCTCCATGCAACTCAGCGATGGTTCCGCCACCTCCAAGACCGCACCCCCGCAACCAATCCCCGATATCACACCAGCCGAGCGGGCCACGGCCCGCTTCGCAGTCGCCGGCAACGCCATCATCACCGGCGGTGCCGGCGACATCGGCTCCGTCGCCTGCAGAGCTCTGCTGGAGCACGGCCTCCAGGGTCTCGCCATCTTTGACCTTCACCCTGATGCAGGACAGGCAATTGTCAACGACCTCAAATCCGAGTTTCCCGATGCCAAAATCACGTTTACAAAGGTCGACGTGACAGATGCTGAGGCAGTGTCGCAGGCTGTTGCACAGGCTGAACGTGACATCGGTCCGATTAACCTGTGCTTTTGCTTCGCGGGCATTGCCTTTGCCATTCATGCACTGGATATCACGCCAGAACAGTGGCGACAGATGCTCGAGGTGAACACCACCGGCGCTTTCCTTGTCGCTCAAGCTGTGGCGAAGTCTATGGTGAGCCGGGGGCGTGGCGGGAGTATCGTTCTCATGGCGAGCATTTCGGCGCACATTGTAAACTTCCCACAGCCACAGGTTCACTACAACGCTGCTAAAGCAGCCATCCTATCCATCAAGAAGTCGCTTGCTGCTGAATGGGCGAGGTATGGAATCCGAGTCAATAGTATCAGTCCGGGATATATGGACACCATTCTGAACGAGGGCGAGGGCCTTGAGGAGCATCGACAGACTTGGAAGCAGAGAAACCCTTATGGAAGGATGGGCAAGCCGGAGGAATTGACGGGAGCTGTGATTCTATTGGCCAGTAAAGCCGGAAGCTATATCACTGGGGCGGACATTCTCGTCGATGGAGGTATCAGCGTCTTCTGAGAATATGAGTTCGAAGAGGGTGTTGGATTGATTCTTCAACCATGCGAATCTTATCGTGCATAGATCTTGTCTATCCACTTTGGCTAGTAAATATCCAGAGCTACTTGAACCTTGCGATTGTGCTCACCTCTCAACGTTTTGGCGCCCTTCGGCATAAAGCCGATTCGGAATAAGCCCGACTCCGGCTCCGAGGAACAGCGTCGAGTGAAAAATGACTTCCAGAGATACATAGCCAATACACTCAGGCTCAGAAAGGTACTTCCAGAGACTCTGCGGGTTACTGGGAATTGTCTCAATACATCTACCGTGCAAACAACATGCTCTACATTGCATACTGTAAGACCTCGTTTCGTTGAGTCTCTCGTAATATGAGCGACGTCATTAACGCATTGTCTTGGTATCTTGGCTATGAAGATTCGACATCATCACCATGTTCTTCCTCACCCCACCGTATCAATGGCCGATGTCATGTATGTACCCAAGACCATATTAACTCTTCGAAGGTATAGCTTCATCAGTACTGCCCAATTGAAGCCTCATGACACCGAAAGGGGACGATGTAAGAGCCCTTCAGTCAGTGTACATGCAAAGGCTTCTGAGCGTCAGTTGCAACAAAGATCTTTTCTCCGCTGCTGGTCCATGTAATGAGGCAGGGGTACGGAGAATCAGCCCCCACCCAGCGTGCGGGACCCCAGCCTGGCGGGGCAGGAAATCCAACCTGGCTGTTCCCACAAACAAGGATACCCTATCCACTCCTCGGTGACAGGGGCGTAAGCAATCCACATGAGTCCACATACGGCTCAGCCCAACGAGTTAGCGTCCGCCGGTTCCACAGGTCTCATATTGCCTGCTCCGAGAAATGACCAACCTCTCCCTCTCCCAACTTCGTTCGCACCCGCATTGAGGCAGCATCTCGATCCAGCTTTGACACACGAAAACGCACAGATTCTGGGAATAAGGAGCAATGTCCGCGGAATCCTCAAACATCTGGGACAAGGATGACGAATGGGCTGGAGTGAGCAGCTCCAGAGAGCGAAGGAAACGGCAGAACCGGCTCCACCAACGAGCGTATCGTGAGTGCTACCCACACCCAGACGGAGATGCGACGGCCTCGGGATAGTGGTCGAAGTACCGACGTACGTATGCAGGCGGTTGTACCAACAACTTCGAAATTAGGTGCCAAAAAGCGGCTCGAGAAGTTCCCTGTAGCACTACATGCCGGTCTCGACGTGACGTCTAAAGCTGCTGCGGCTGGTGGCCCGAAACCGAGCGTCTCGGCCGTCATCCAGTCTACGACCTCCCGCCAAGAGCAAGCTCAGCTCTTCACAGCCGTCATTGATCAGCTCCCACTGTTAGTCCTCGTCAGGTGCACCGGGCTCCACGAGAGAATCAAGGAGTTCCTGCAGATGGCGTTTACCAACTGGGGCCTGAACCTGCCTGCGGCGCGCGACCTGCCGCTCGTGACGCGGCTAAACACCTTTGACGCGCTGGCCCGCAACGCGCTGATGCTGCAAATACCATTCGAGATGCTAGAAACGGACGAATTTTGTTCCCTGTTCAACTATCAAGGGCCTAATACACCAGATCGGTCGAACCTTCCCGAAACGCTGCGTCCGACCGAACTGCAAAGGACTGTGACGCATTATTCATGGCTGGATCTGTTCCCCATTCCGAAGATGCGGGATAACATACTGCGGGGCATTGAGGCGGGGATATATGATGAGGACGTCTTGTGCGAAACGCTCTGCTGCGAGCTGCTGAATCTCGAGGACGGGACGAACGCGGCTCTCGTCGTATGGGGCGAGTCTTGGGACGCCGCAGGGTGGGAGTTTAGCGCCGAGTTCTTTTCAAAATGGGGCCCCTTGTTGCATGGCTGCGATGAAGTGCTGGAATCGACAAACTACTGGAGGCGAAAGAGGGGTGCAAGATGTCTTGAATTTGTATTGAGTTAGGCAGATTGGGTATCGTCTTTCTAAGTGAGTCCGTGTAACCTTCGAAATGCCCAATTATCCAGAATCCTCGACCCATTAACCGTCGTGATGCCATCTCCACCGGCGCCCAGCTGTTTATCATGTTTCCCACACGCCAAATCCACCAGGAACGGCCCCAAGTGTTCCGTCGGGGTATGTTGCCGCCGTAGTGCTGACCTCATTATCGGTACCAGAACGGCACTCATCGCATGGTAAGTAAAACCTGGATCTGGGATGTACGGCTTGATGGCTTCATGGTTAGACGGATCAACACCCATCGGCCGCACAGACTCGACGTTGAATTTCGACGTCCGCAGCTTGGCCAGCGCCACCTCTGCCTCGCCTTTCACCACGCCGTAGTACGGTGTGAAGAGGCCCGGAGTCGCAGTTGCGCCGCCGCTCGAGACGTACACGAAGCGGAACGGCTTGTCGTCGGTGGACGGTATTTTTGAAAAGGCCGCTGCGGCCGCGAGAGGATAGTCGTTTGTGATTTTGACGTATTCTCTGCGCTCGTGTTAGCTACCAATGATGCATATTGCAAAGGCGCAAAGATTATACTCTTTGGTGACTTTTGTCTGGCTGATGCCCAGCGCCCAGACCACACCGTCGGCATCGTCGACCTTGGCAAGGACGCTGGGGTCAAAGGTTTCAAAGTCTTTGTGGATGATCACGTTGGCCTTCGGATTGTTTCCCACCATGGGCACCGGTCTTCGGCTGAGGATTGAGATCTTGGTGACGTCCTTGGACTTGAGCATCGCGTCGAGGACGCTGGATCCGACGAGGCCGGTGGCCCCCGTGAGAATGAGATGCATGGTGGCAATGAGAGTGGGAATGCAAGATGTTGGAGGAGGAAAAAGCAGAACATTGATGGAGGAAAGCAGAAAATCTATGAGAGGAAGATAGAGGTACCAGGGACGGAAGGACATGCACGTGATAGATTGGAGCTCTCATGCATGTCCATGATTTCGATAATGTAGCCCGCAGCAGGGGCGTAAGCAGTCAAAACTGAGACACACATCCATCATGACCAATGGGGAGTGAGAGAGGCATGTTGGTTCCCTGGGTGCTGCGGTAATGCCTGCTCGACCCTGGGCCTCAGGTGGATTGCTTAATTACTCCCCTGTCTAGCGTGGGCCCGAGATGAGATCTTGGCCCCCATTCAACCTTGGAAGTCGGAACGAGGACAAAGTCCGAGGACAATGCAGGGACTATTGAGCCTCATGGCGTGCTAGCTGCATCTTCAAACTCCGCTAGAAGTCTTGATGTCTATTCCTATACTTACAGTGCCGGAAGTACTGGCTTTCTGCCTCGGGATAGCTCCGGCCATGTTTAAACTCCGCTCGTAGTCGTCTTGCCTCGTCATGTACTTGATGCCTTGAATGGTCAAAATTCTGTCATAGTCTGCTAGTATATAAGTCGTAGTGCCACCTTCAAAAATATTGTTGCGGTTTGTCGCTATGCTCTTCAAATCACTTCGATTTAGTTCTTGACCTCCGTCTCTCTGCTTGTCGTGGTCTACCACTGGTTCCAAAGACTTCTGCAACTCGACACCGCCATCATGCCTCAATTTCGCCAGGAAGATATTCCTGAACTCAAAGACCAAATCATCATCGTCACCGGCGGAAACGCAGGACTGGGGTTCGAAACGGTGAAGCAGCTCGCATCCCGCAATGCCGCCCGCATCTACCTCGCCGCCAGGTCGCAAGAGAAAGCCGAGCAAGCCATCAAGGACATCCAGACGGCAAACCCCGCCGCAAAGAATATCAGCTTCCTCAAGCTCGACCTCGCATCCCTCAAGAGCGTGAAAGCCGCCGCTTCCGCCTTCCTCTCCCAAGAAACCCGCCTCGACATCCTCGTCAACAACGCAGGTATCATGATGACCGCAGAGGGCCTCACGAAAGACGGCTACGAGATCCAATTCGGCACCAACGTCGTCGGCCCCGCGCTCTTCACCCAGCTGCTCCTCCCCACCATGCGCGAGACCTCCGAAGTCAACCGCGAAACACGCGTCGTGATGCTCGGATCTGCATCCCACTCTATGGCGCCGAGCAACGTTTACAACTTTGCCGAATTCCGCACCACGATGCCCGACCGCGCGACGACGCAGCGCTACACGATTTCCAAACTGGCTGATTTGCACTACGCCAAGGCCCTGGCGGAGAGAGAGCAGAGTGTCAAGATTATCCCCGTGCACCCCGGCATGGTCGCGACGAACCTCCATCACGCCTCGGCGGGGTTCTTCCTGCGCCCGTTTCTGTATGCAGCCATTGCTTTCGCTACGCCTGTTGAGAAGGGCGCGCTGTCCCAGATCTGGGCGGCTGTCAGCCCGGAAGCGAAGAGTGGGCAGTACTACGGCCCGGTTGGGAAGGCGGAGTCGGGATCTAAGGCGAGCCAGAACCGCGAGCTTCAGGAGGCGTTGTTTGCGTATATTCAGACGGAGTTGGAAGGTCATGTTGAGAAGATGGCGTAGTTGAGGTGCTTCGAAAGTGGTAATTCATGGTTGACTCAGTCCAAAGGATTCAAGTTCCTGGTTTCCGTGAAGCAAATATGGCATGGAATGGGTCACACCCATGTCGACACCTTGAGTCCAAGATGGTGACAGAGCGTCAAACGTTGTTGGATATGCAGCTTCTCCCAGGGCTTGGCTCTCGGGAACAGTCGTGGACCCAAACATATCCAGGCCCGGGACTGCTGGCACCTGCCTTGTAACATCTGTTGTTGGAAGTCCCCAGGGCACTTCTGGTTGCGCCGAAAATGGTGGCGGCGGCATCGTGAATGGGATCTCGTTTCCCAGCGTGAGTTCATCCGGCGGCGACAGTTGCGCAAGATACGTCTGCTCCCCCGGTGGAAACAACCCCAGTTGCAGGTCTTGATCCGCCGTACCGCTCCTCGAGCGCTGGTTCTCGTCAGCCTCGGTGGCCCAGTTGTCGCCGAACCCGTTGTTAAAGACACCGTAGACCTCATCCTTGACGCTCATCAACTGCGTCATCGCCTCTGAGACTGGCCTTGGCTCAACGAGGGGCTGCCCAGTCTGGGTGCGCATCGCATTAATCTCAGCCGCAAGGCGCCGGTTCTCCGCAATCAGGTCCTGCATGTCCTCAGCGGCGTCTAGACACATGTCCCGCTGGGTACGGAAGTGCTTGATGCTCTCGTTGACGATGAGGACTTTGTTTAAACGGCGGGCGTTGGCGAGGGACGGTACCAAGCGGGCCAGGTCCTGTTCCACATGTCAGTCACCATGCCCCAATTACATCTTGATTCTAGAAGACGATGTTACTATGATGTTCTCCTTCATCTCACACCGTTTCCTCTTCTCGGTGGCCAGGTTGCGCGCATTTACATGCGCGGGCAAAGGGCGGACCCGTTTCCGCTTTTGGACCTTGCCGCTGGCGGTGGTGTCGTGCGGGTTCGACATTGCTCAGCGACTATCCAGCAATTATGAGATAGATTTCCTGTGCTTCGGCGCACTGGCAAGGGTCTTGAGAAAGAGGCTCAACGGGAATGCAGGCGCTGGACGGGAGTGATGCAACGCTCCTTCGTGTGCATCAGCAAGCTGGGTTGCTTCTCCGCAGTGGTGGGCGTGGCGGAATTCATGACGGAAAGGCCCCGATAAGGAAAGTGCGGTTTGCTGGTTCGAGGAGATCCGCCCGGTTGCTTTTAGCGTTGTGATTTGGTGTTGGTAGGTCGGATATGTTGGATTAACGACTGTGTCTGGATAAAGGGATGCTAGAAATGCATTGAATAATATGCAAGAACCGGTGATGATGGGTAAATACAAGACAGAACCCCGCTCGGACCTGGATAGGAGGAAATCCCTCAATCAAGCA